GGGACGGGTGCCATTGTGGAGCCACGTTCAAGGGAGGCCTTTCTATTGAGGGACTTTTTGAATACTTTTTGAGTACAGAAGGGCTGTAAGGACATTTTGAGAACATTAGTCAGCTTTCTGTCATTGTAACAACACCTGAGATAATCAGCTTAGAAAGAAAAACGGTATTTTGGCTCATGGTTTCATATTTCCTATAGTCCGTGAGGGCCCCATTGGATTGAGTACCAGGGAGGATGAAGGAGAGCAAGAAGAGCCTGTGGGTGTAGTTGATTCTGAAGGATTTTACCATAAGAGGGAGTAGAGAAATGAGGTGGGTGAGATAGATAAGGAATGAAGGGGAACTTTTTTTGTTGAAGAAGGGAAATGTTATGGCACATTTACACATTAAGGGAAATGACGCAGTGGAGAGAAACACAGTGACCGTGCAGGAGGGGAAGGTGTCCTAGTCATCCTGGGATGCCATAGCATCTCAAGACTGGGTGGCTTATGCAACAGATGTGTATCTGCTGAAGTCTGGAGCGTGGGAGTCCAAGATCAGGTGCCAGCTTGGTTGGGTCCTGGTGAAGCCGATGTCACCAGGCATTCCTTCTCTCCAGGGGAAGGGGCTGTCCAGGGGGTCATCTCACAGAGAGCACTAACAAAGGTGGAGAGCAGAATGACTAAGGCAGTGGCATTCTAGATTAGGTAAGATGTGTCAAATATCGTTATTATTAAAACTTCAGGACTAACAGGCGAGAGGAGAGATGAGTGTGATGGCGATCCTTGGGTACTGTTTGGGGGGTGGATTCAGTGCAGCAACACCAATCCTGGGTCATGCCCAGGCAGCAGTTATGGGGAGACAAAATGGAAACACCCTCTTTTAGGAGGTTTTCTTTTCAAAACTGTCTTGCTTTTCTCTGACATCATCAGGAGGTATGTTGACCAGAAGAAGGTTCCTCTTTTATTTCATAAGCACATCTTCCTTCATTTCCATGGCCAGGAGTTGAAGAAGTAAAGCTAGGTCCTGAGCACATTTGAGGAAGTAGGCCTTGACCCACGGTAGGGTAAGTGCCACATGACTTAGGAGAAAGGGGCAGCACTGCAGGGAGGCTTCCAACCACCCCCCCCCCCGACTTTTCTTTCCCAAAGGAACCATTTTTAAATTAAGATTCTCTACTTACATCTGGTTACAAAAATAAACTCTCTGCAGTTCACGCCAGGTGAACCAAGTGCGCGTCTTTTCTCATTTCATCCCTCCTGCAACTTCCCACCTAAGATGCCCTTCCACAGGGAAATGCCCTCTAGGGAAATATGGCTGATGAAGCAGAGTATTTCTTCACTATTTGACTTTAGAAATTTTTTTTTTCCATAAAATTAGCTCCATTCCCTCTGATTTTGAGGTTGAAAAGAGGAAATCTTTTGGGTCCATGAGAGCCTTTGATGTATCCCGATTTCTGCAGAAAGCTTGTTTTTATAACTGTGGCCCCTGGAAAGCAGGGCAGGTTCATTGAAAGAGTAGAGGCTCTTTTTTGGCTTGCTCCTCTTTCTGACCCCTCAAGAGAAAGAATATTCTCCCTCACATTTCCCTGCCTCTAAAATCTACCCCAAAGAGACCTGTCCCCACGGTCACTACAATTCTATCTACAGATACAAATTTGCAGGCTGGGAATCCTACCCATTCGGTCATCTCACTCCAGCTGCGGGAGACATATTTGTGTTCCAAAGTGTTTTTCTGACTTAGACACATGAAGAAATTACTTTCTAGTAAGTGGTTGCCTGTACTTTGAATTGTTGACACTTTATATAATCTTATTGAGGTTGGAGATCTCAAAATTTTGGTGTTTTATGAGCTTTCATGAGAGGGAAAATGGAAAGAAATCATGGGACCACAGAATTTCATAAGATGAACAGGAAAAAAAAAATCCCATTCCACTTGTGTAGTCTTTTGAGTGGTGACACTGCACAGGGAAGGGAGTGTAAGGGGACAGGAGGTTCACATTTACAGGCGGCTCAGTCAGCCGAGCATCTTCTGGGTGTTTGTTTCTTGCCCTGCGGAATTACCTGCAACAGCACCCAAGCCTGTGCTCTTGGGCCTCCTTCCACCTCATTATCCTGCCCTCTGCCCCAAACCCTCACCACCCCCCACTTTTCTGAGCCTGGTTGAGCTAAGGCGGGAGAACCAGGGGTATGCAGGGCTGGCCCTCTGGAGACACTGTGAGATTACTCAGGTCCAGAGAGATAGAGACCACTACCCAGATTTGCTCATGAAGTTCTTGGGGCCATTTTCCAAAGCCTTTTTTTGTGTGGGTGTGTGGAGCTGGATTTGGGTAGATTGAGAATTGAAGAATTACCATACAGACTATTTTTTTTTGAGAAATTTTGTTCTAAAAGTGGGAGTTATAAAAACCTCAAGGAACTTCTAAGGAGAGTTTATTTCCAAAAATGCAGGACTAGAAACATAGATACAGGTGGAAGGGTCAATGAGGAGACTGTGCTCACAGCCAGAAGAGGGCTACCCTTGAGCATCTTTTGTAAGCCAAGATGGTACGTTGTGTAATTTCCATGATAACCCTGTGAACCGGGCAGGTGGCAGTGCCCCATGTACCAGTGAGCAAAGTCAGCTAAGCATCTTGCCCAAAGACCTATATTTTCTAAGGGGCAGAACTGTGATGTGATCCCATATCTGTTCAACTAGAAAGGTTATTGCTTTTCCACTGTAACCACTGGGGGAACTTGGTTCTAGAGGTGTGTTCTGGCCACACTTCCTGAGCTCCAAGAATACAGTGAGGCATTGCTGTCTAGTGCGACTTTCCTCTCTGACTTGTTCACGTTGGTTTATTGGGTATACTCTTCAATGCTCACATCCAGGGCCCTGTCAGTTGGGGGCAGGCTCCCTGCGACTCCCTGATCAAGAACGTGTTGAATTGTATCTCATGCTTTGCAAGGTGCAGTGGTTCACTCAAGCTCCAGGTAATGACAGCCACTGCCCGCTTGGTTCTTTTTGTGGGATAACTGCAATGCCCTGGAGGTGTCACATACCTGCAAATGACACAGCTCACAATTCCCGTGTTTTATAGAGACCTTGTTGAATTTGGAGATGAGTGATGTGATGTCAGGAAAAGCCGTGGGAAAAAATATTCAATATCGAATGCTTTTTATAATTTAATTGCTGCCTATTCCCAGGCTGAATTGAATTCTGGCAGACGTGTTCTTTTCATAGTCACAAAATACGTTGCGATATGCGGCAAATAAAATGTAGCTCTGGGGTTTTCTCTGCTAATCACAATGAAAAGAATCCGTGGAAATGTTATTGTCTGTTGATAAACACTTTGTGCATTCTTGCAGCCAGTTCTAATTCAATTTATCTTAAACTCAGTTTCTTAAATTGTACAGACAATGAAGAGAATCAGATGATTATTCTAATATAGAAGACATAAACTCACCCAAACCGCCTATACTGCCTGGTGGCTTTTCAGCGCCTTGGTGGAGTCCTGCCTTAGATGCAGGAGCCCTTGGAATAGGGCACAGTACCCAGGGGGTCTGAGTTCCCATTCTCTTCATTAAAGAAGCACATTGAAGATTAATTGGAACATCTATCTCCCCAGAGCCTGCTGTTGGGACTCTAAGACTAGAACTGCCTGGTCTTTCTGGGACCCCCATAGTGGGCAGTGACCACATCCTTATTTCCTTGGACTTGGAGCTTGGGAATGAGGGGAATAGGATAATAGGATAATGGAGGGAAATAATGAAGGGGAATGAGGAGGCAGGATACTAGATAGTCCAGACTACCTTTGAAAACACCCACTTCTCCTAGAGAATTATCCTAGTGTTAGATGTACAGATTGGGCCAGGATTAAATGGATTTCAAATGATTTCTTACCCTCCTTATGGGCTTCTGAAGTCTCTCTGGAAGTGTTGGCCTAAGCGTATTGTCTCAGTTTCATTGGTTCCTTATGAAATATGTCTTTTAAAAATAAAATGAAATCTCCATAACCTATACTCCTGTTGAAGAATAATGAACTGCTTTTTGGAGAAGATGTTCCATTTCTCCACAGCCAGAAGAGTTAATAAACACCTGCCCCCGTCTAGCGAGCCCTTCCCACCTTCTTAGCCAGAGGGGTTGGACGCAGCATCCTTACTTTCTTTTTAAAAAAATTTGTTCTTTTTAGTTATACATGACAGTAGAGTCTATTTTGACATATTTGTACAAAATGGAGTATATCTTATTCTAATTAGGATCCCAGTCTTGTGGATGTACATGATGTGGAGATTCACTGTAGTATGTTCATATATGTATATAGGAAAGTTATGTCAGATTCATTCCACTGTCTTTCCTGTTCCTTTCCCAGTTCCCTTCCCTTTGTTCCCCTTTATTTAATCCACCAAACTTCTATTCTCCCCACCCCCTTGTTGTGTGTTAGCATCCACATATCGGAGAGAATATCTAAACTTTTGGCATTTGGGGATTGGATTTTTTCACATCTCTAGCCATTAGAGAAATGCAGATTAAAACTACACTGAGATTTTACCTCACTCCAGTCAGAATGGCAATTATCAAGAATACAAGTAGCAATAAATGTTGGTGAGGATGTGGGAAAAAAGGTACACTCATATATTGTTGGTGGGACTGCAAATTGGTGCAACAACTCTGGAAAATAGTATGGAGATTCCTCAGAAAACTAGGAATGGATCCACCATTTGACACCTTGGTATGTATCCAAAGTAGTTAAAATCAGCATACTACAGTGATGCAGCCACATCAGTGTTTATAGCAGCTCAATTCACAATAGCTAAGCTATGAAACCATCCTAGGTGTCCTTCAACAGATGAATGGATGTGGCACCCTTTCTATCTCTGTGTGTGCGTCAGCTCAGTGTTAGCCTACAGTGTTCTATCAGACTTGGTCACAGCACTTTAATGGGGTGTTGGGTGAATACCTTTGAAGTGTCGGGGTGTGGCCTTCTTTTTTCAACAGGAATGACCATGATTGCACTTCATTGAGGATGTCTTTTCCCCAATAGGTTCTTAGCATGATAATCAACGCAGCCTACAAGCCTGGAAGGGTGTTAAGAGAATTGCAACTGGTGGAAGATCCACACTGGAATTTCCAGGAGGAGACGCTGAAAGCAAAGTAAGTGCTCTCAATCCTCGGGCACAAGGTTCTGCTAATTGGCTGCCACTTTGCCTGCTGTTGTGAAACCTGGCATTTCTCATTTTGATGTATTTTATAGAACTGGAAACAAACCCGAGGACCATCGTTCTGTAGTTCTATGTGCTACATACAGATTTATTGGTGGTTTTGCTGTATTTTATAGTTGCCTTACGGCTTAGGATTTCTAAAGTGAAGCAGGAATTTGCTTACATAATTTTTTTAATGTTACACACTCAAAATATATATTTATTTCTGAGCCAATAGATCATTTGTTCACAGGAAAAACAATTATAAAGAAAGGGTGCTTCTTGTCGTGTTCACTAACAGCTCTTGATATTTTTTGATATTATGCAGAATTTGTACGAAATGCAAGGGTTCTCTACACTGGGATTTGAGGATTTTTAACGATAAAAGGAACTGATGTATCTATTTAGTTTGAGTTCAATAAAGTGGCAGTGGGCTCTGGGTTGACTTGTAGTTGGGTAGCTTTCCTGTCTTTGGAAGCAGGCTAATCGGAAAGGTGAGATTTTGCTTTGTTTAAAGTTTCTTGACCTCTGAAAACAAGAGCACAAACTGTCTCCATGTGCTTGAACTTGGTCACTGAGAAGTTCGTAGAAGAGATTGATTTCTCAAGGTAACGTAATGTTCAGTGATCGCTTGGAGTTGTCAGGGCTTTTAATAATCATTTATGGTTTTCCGATAAAGAAGATCTTACTGGTTGATTTCTCTTTTAATAGTGTCCTAAAATATCATTGATATATAGCATTTAGGAAATGATGCTTCTTTGGAAGAACGAGCCACTTTTTGATGGCTCTAGTATATCTATCTAAGTTTAAACAAGGTGCCTGCCACATTCATAGCGAAAACTGAGGAATTCTTCATAATTTGGACAGCCAGAGACGGTTTTCTTGATAGTGAGCTTGCTGTATCTCCCCCTTCCTTCTCAGTCACTCACCCTGTATTCCCAGTGTCTTTGTAGAACAGCTCTAATCATCTTAGGTTCTACAAAGTCAGGTAAGGGCTAGTGGGACTCCGCCAAATCACAAAGGCTACAAGGATATGCATAAGTAAGGTGAGGGCTTATTTGTATAAAGTGTGATGATTTTGCCAGTGAAAGGTGTCACTGCATGTCACCATCCCTTCCTTCCTGAGAGACTCACATGAGTCTTGTCTATAGCTCAGAGAAAACCAAGTACTTTCCTGTTGAGCATTCCTTTCTCTCCTGCTTTCTAAGGGGGTCACCAGCCATTGAAGCACATTTTCTCCCAAGGCTTTATCAGTGGTGATGGCGGAGATCTTATTCAAGTATTTATACACATATCCTTTCTTCTTGTTTCAAGTCTTTTCTGTATGGTTCGGTGCAGTCCAGACACACCTAAAAGATATGGAAATAATGAAAGCACAAAGGTCTTCCATTCCATGAGAAGCTCTGCTCCTAAATCAGACAGAAACTTGCTCCAGACACCATAGTGACAGGGAAAGTTCATTTCGCAAGTGTTGGCACTTATTTTTATGTTACCAGGTCGATCAGAGCTTTTATTAAATCCAGCCTGATACAATCAAAACAGACGTGGTGAAATCCAGCTCTGCTGAATTGTAAAGGCAACGTATTACCTATCATATCGGAGATGACAGGAAGTTTCGTAGCAGAATCTTATGCAGCAACTTATAATGAGGAGATGTCTGAATGGGGTTTCAACTCTGTGATCCTAGCAGCGTTTCCCAGCAGCTGCTAATGATGACAGGTTTACAGTCAGCAGGGGCCTTCCTGTGACAACCCTGCATGTTGAGTCACCTCTTTCCTTCTGATGGAAAACGACAACATTTTAGATCGTGACAACTTTGCTCTTTTCTTTGGTGCAAATGGGAGGAGAGCGAGCTGGCTTCTTCCCCTCCAAGCGGAGAGGCAGAGATGTTTTCTGTCATGAATAAATTAACTGAGCAGAGGGGCGACCTGCATTTAAGGCAGCTGTTGTCTTAGTCGGTCGGGAGAGCTGAACTGAAATGTTACAAGAAGTGTCTTCAGGAAGCCAGGGCTGAGGACAGTCTGCAGGGCAGCGTGATTGCTGTCTTTTAACGTCTGGGACTGCTGATGGATTTTTTCCTTAAAAAAAAAAAAAAATTACTCAACAAGGTGCCTTTGAAAAGGTTTTGACCTGCGAATGTAATAAAAACTAACATTGTCATGGATGGTCATGGTCATCTTTGGCGGTTGGCTTCTGTTTATCCAAGCAACCATACCTTCCACGGTACGAAGGAAACTATTGCAGTATTTGAACGTCATACATTTTAGCTTTGCTTCGCTGTGACCAAAATATCTGAAAGGAACAACTTAGAGCGGGGAAGTTTATCTTGGCTCATGGTTTCAGAGGTTCAGTCCATGGGCAGCTAATTTCATCCCTCTGGGGATGAGGTGAGGCAGAGCATCATGGTGGAAGGGCATGGAGCAGGAAGGCTGCTCAGCTCTAGGAAGCAGAGAGAGCAAGGTGCCAGGGACAAAATATACACCCCAAAGGCAAACCCCCAGGGACCTACTTCCTCCATCCACACCCTAACTGCCTATATTTACCACCCAGTACTGTAGTCCTTTCAAATTATTAATCCACCAGTGGGTTGATCCACTGATTATGTCACAGCTCTCATGACTGATCATTTCACTTATTGCTATATTCCTGTGTTGTCCCACACATGAGCTTTGGGGGGATACCTCGCATTCCAAACCATGACAGCTTATAAGGAAGGACTCTTCTCATCACTGGTCCTCAGCATGGATCGGAAGGCAAAAATGTACTAGCTGTAGTGCAAAGGGAAAAGTGCGTTCTGTGTAGTTCTGAAGGAGAATTTTTCCTTCTTTCTGATGAATTTAGGTTTTCTAAATTGACCTACATTGTTTTGAATTTAGGAGAAATCTAGGCTATACCTTAGGGGGATTTTAAAAAGCCCTTCCAACTGCATGCATCTAGAGACATTTTAGTGTTTTCCAACATGTTATAAAATCTTCTGAGGAAGAAAAGAAGACCGTGTTAGCTGTGCTTTAAATGCTTTTGAGCATGAAAGCCAGGTAAAGGCCTCACAGATTTTTCCAGTCCTTTGTTACAGATATTCAGACTATTTAAAGAGAAAATGTGCTGGTTATCATTTCAAGTAAATTAGATTTCATTGTCACTTAGGCAAGGAGATAAGGTCAGATTTTTTACTTAAAAATCATCTCAAGAATGGGGCATGGTCAGCTCTGGAAATATTTGGTTTCTTCCTTTTCATGAATAATGGCAAATTTTGTATGTACTTTTGTTTATTTGCCCTTTCTTTGGCCTTTACTCAGGCCTCTATTGTATGAACAGTGAGATGTAAGATTGGCCTTAAAGTGACTTGTGTGAAAAGTATTCCTCACCTGTTCGTGTGAGCTCCGCTGGCTCAGATATTATGGTTTGCTCCCCTGGAAACGTGTGGTGAACTTCAGGTGAGGTGAGCAGGTGGACCGGTCTGATGGAAGAGCAGGCAGTTCCCTGTGTGTGTCCTTAAATTCTTCTGGTTGTGGCACAGTATGTCTGGGTTCAAACTCAGATCGGTTTAGGAAGTTCTGAATGACTCTCTCCTAAAATAAACACAGTACCCCATTTGTGGCACAGAGTTCCCAGTACTTGAAAAGCAGGCAGCAGAGAAGAAGGAAAAGAAGGAAAGCAGAAATTTCTAAGCTTATTTTGTATTATGAGGCTGAGAAGCCAGAAGCCCTGGAGTGGGAAGGTTAAGAAGATGAGACCATGAAGTCAAAGCTCTGTTCTGAAGGAAGTCAGAACCAGGCCTCTCCCCGTTCCCACAGGGTTAGTAGAGGTCCCTTTTCCCCTTAGCTCCTCCTCCTATTGGAGGATGTGAACTCAGTGGAAGAACTGGCCTCGACCTCTGCTCCCTCACCCCATCACTACCTGGGAGGTCTTGCTAATCGCTCCTGGTAAGGGGTCATCCTAAAGATGAATGGTGGAACCCAGGCTGGACTGCAGTTGTCCCCCTGGACTGTGCTTATGAATGGATCCTTATCCCATCCACATTGGTAGGAAGGAGAGGAGACTATTCAACCTGCCACTCCTCCGGCTCCCTCTTCCTCTGCCCCCTCTATTCTGCCATGTACCCTCCTGCGTGGAAATAAATCCCTAAAAATGTGGTTAGGACATCCTTAGTGATATCAGGGAGGGGAAACCTCCTCCTGTACCCTGTTAGGTTCAGAGACTGCAATCCCATGGATTAAACTGGCAACAGAGGCAGGGGAGGGTGGAGGGGGTTGATGTACAGTTCCGTGTTCATGCACAGGGACACTCAGGAGCGGGTCAAAGAGCTGCCTCGGTAGGGAAAGGCTGCGGACAGAGAAGGCTTCTCCCTACAAGAGTAAACAGAGTTCTTTGAGAAGGAGAAATTGTGTAAGAGAACCAGTGGGAGATAAAATCGTGCAAAATAATGCTTGTATCTGCAGGTGTGAGTGGGCTCTTCATCTTTGTGGCCGTGGAGTTCCTCCAGACGGGGTTGTGGTGGGTCTACTCCTGCTGTCTCTCTCTGAGTAGAAGCTGCCCCAAAGAGGGGATTTATGGCCGTCCTCATTCCTTAGAAGTTTTTCCTGTCAGATAACAGAAGCTCCCAGAAGGCCTCTTTTTCTGTATCTGTCAGCTTAAATAATCTGTCTAGTTACTCTGGGGATCCAATTTGGGTCCCCACACGGACCAGAGTCAGCCGCAGCATCTCCTTATGTGCTCAGTTTGTAGTGAAAGGAGATGAGTTTCCTGCTTCCAGAATCCTCCAGAACCTCAGAATGCTAACATGCTAAGAAGAGAGAGTGGAGGATCTTCTAAAAATCAGGGCAGGAGCTCCTGTCGGAGGACTGTCGGACATAAAGAGTCTCCTAGCGGGACACCTCCCCTCCTCCTGTCCTTCCTGTTCTCTTGCTAAAGGCATCATCCCCAGCCCCATGATCCTTTGTTTCTTGCGTTTTCCTTCCTCCTTTGGAGATGATTTTTCACACCAGGCAGTCCTCTGGTCTGGTCTCTTAATATTCTCCCCCTGTCTCCTCCTCCTCTCAGGACTTGGAATGTGTGCTGCAAATGTTTCTCTGCACGCTGCCGAGCCCCGCTGGGCCATGTGGTGGGTGGCCCACGTGTGCTGCCCTCAGGACCCACAGTTTATGGGGGTGGTATCAGCATGTGGTTTGGGGTTGTTCTCTGCGCATGTCCTGCTTACAAAAACAAGTGTTCATTTGGATTTTACAGAAAAATCACAAACACAGAATAAAGGTACTGTTCTTTCTCCTGATCAGCTTGAGAATAAATGGTGTTAGGCCTTCATATCAACCCCCAAAACCTCATCACATATGCTTTACTAACCAAGGCATATCACATAAGAAGGGCTGCAATCTTTGGTGCCTCTTTCCTGGTGGCACACCGTCCACATTTGCCTCATCCCGATGATGTTTACTTTGATCATTTAATTAGTGATGTCTACACACTGCTCCAACTTGGAGGTCATCTGTGGGGAGATACTTGATACTATGCAGTGATGCCATTCCCCGCAAACTTCCAGCTCATTCGTTACTTCCTTGGTGTGATTGGTGGATTGCTGTTTACCAAGTGTATTATCCTCCATTACTATCATGTCTTATTTTGATTCTCAGATTGCCTTAGATTTGCCTCAGTTGGAGCCACCTACACCTGGCTTTTTTGTCCCTTCAGTGTGTCTCTGTCATTCTTTGATATGCTTTTTCTTTCTGACCCAACAAGATGTTCAGAATATATCTTCTTTCCTGTCCCCAGTCCTGGAATTAGCCATTTCTTCAAAGAACCTGATTTTTCCCTGTGGCCTTATGGTGGGGGCGTTATTGTCGGGGGATGGGTGTAAAATGGCTTCTAGAACCTAAGACCTGGCATTAGCTGTGCTCACTGCTCTTCAGGTGTCACTGCTGCCTGGTTCTGGGAACAGAGCTAGGGTGTTGATGTGCAAGTACCTGCTAACCCTTGCTGGAGTCAGGATCCCATCCAGGTTCCAGTCCCCGCCCAGCACACCAGCTTCCTCCTAGCCTTTTCTTTTTCCATATTTGTAGCTCTGCTCCTGGTGGTGGGAACCTGGCTCAGGCCAGCTTCAGTGGACTTGTTTAGTTTTTACTTCCTCAGGCCCAGATCACCCCAGTGTCCTCACCACTTTGCTCCCTGCTCAGAAGGACTTTGCCTGCATGCAGATGGCCTCCTCTCCATGTGTGGCCTGCTTTCCACCTGTGACAGGCTGGGTGTCTCCCACACAGGCTGCACTGCCCTAACGAGGCCCTTGGGACCCACCCCTTTGAAAAGGGACAAGAGGTGGCAGGGTTGGGTGGGTGGAGTGTCAGCTGAGGCAGGCCCTAAAGGGGCTACACTGAAGGCTGTCTGCCAACCGCCCTTGATGGGAGGGGATCCTGGCCACATAGCTGGGTCCCGCACCACCTGGGCACCATGGCTCCTAGACAGTGTTGTTGTGCAGGGAGGGCGCAGAAGAGGAAAGTCACCCGTCATCTGTAAGCCGTGCTCTAATTCTCATTTTCTAAAACAATTCTGCTGAACCATCCCAAATTAAGGAGGGAAAAAGCCACCCTCTTCCTGTTTCCCACAGGGACTGCACCCGTTAGGGCCTTGTGACCCAGAGGCTTGGCCAACTCAAGTATCTGATACTCTTTGAGCACTCCTGCCACAGTTTGACATCTGACCTGGTGTTTACATTTCTCCTGCTTTTTTATGTCTTATTATTTTACTTCTCTAAGAGACTTTAAGAATCTTGATATTGAGCTCTTTTAAACAGAGCCCTTGGACCACCAAACACGTCATGGATAAATCTGCAAGGGAAAACATACCCATTGGTTCTTCATTTCCCACAACATGGGGGGATATACAGTGTTCACCGAGTTGTGCTGTTTTTGGGGGGAGGGGGCATGAAATGCATCAAAAGCAAAAACTTCCCCTCCCCAAAAGCAAGTCCTAGAGACCCTCCTCTAGGATAGGGATGGGGAGGTTTCTACAGTAGGATTGATAGAGGTCCGAGAAAAATCAACCGTTGTGCCAGGCTGGAGGATTTAAAGCATGATTTTATCTACAAAGCATGGCTTTTTAGTTCTTACTCCACAGAAAGTCAAGCTTGGCACATCAGAGAAGTTAAAGAAAAAGGAGGGCAGAGGTACTGGGATATGAAAGACCACTGAATAAATATAAAGTACGTTTTTTCAAGTTAGAATCAAATTTTTTTTCCTGTTGAAACTTTAAGAAGTGATTTATTGGGGGAAAATGAGTTTTTCCAGACTCCAGAAAGACATTAAAAAAAAAAAAAAGCTGAAATACGACTCAGTAGCAGTTTTTTTTCTATTTATGTCTATTACCACATTGTTCTTTGTGAACCGGATATCAAGGTTCTTGAACTTATTTTTTTTACCAGCAAGTCACAGAAATGACGGTCTCCTTATTTTAGACTCAGATTTGCACAAATTAACTTCCTGCTCTTCCTGTTGTGTCCTGTCACGGGCTGCCGGGTACCTGAGTTGTCCAGTGTGAGAAATGCCACAAACAGTATGTAGTGATAGCTTTGGTAAATAACATTTGTACTAATTTTGGGGAAAACAACCAAAATCAAGAGGAATCAACTTCCAGGATAGTCCAGAAGGTTAGGTGAAGATTTGAGGTCCTTACCTTACTGGTTGGCATTGAAGGCCTACCTTGGAGGTTGATCCCTCTCAATTTTGGTTGTTTTCCCCAAAATTAGCACAAATGTTTTATCTGCCAAAGCTACCAACCACTATGTACTATTTTTCTGCAAAACAAATTGCTCAGGATTTCAATTTGAAAATTGGGATCCACATCAAGGACAGTTTCATGGGCACAGCTGTTCTGATGCAGCCATGTCAGTGGCCTCTGTGTTTAGTGAGTGTGAAATAATCAAAAGACCAGTGGTCCCATGCCAATGGGAAAGTTTACCATTATTCTGTGCCCATAATAGCTTTAAAAAGTATGGAAAGGTGATCGAAACTGATTTCTAAGTGCTTGTGTTTCCAGCTGGGCTTCTTATTCTGTTAAATCCTGGGTAAAGCCTCCAGGAACTGTTTATAAACCAAGAACTGTCCATTCTGCCTTCTATAGATCTGTGGCTAGTCATTGCTGATGTTTTTCTTGGGAGAAAGGTTTCTTTCCTGCAGGTGAAGATCAGCTAGCTCATGAAGACAGTATCTAAATCTCAGAAGCATCTACACTCTCCAATCCTTTGTCGTGTTTGTGGGTGGGGAGGAGGGAGGAAGGACAACCTGGATTTGTCATTATAGTTAAACAATATCAGTTGCACTTTCCTCTGCCGCCACCAGGTCATAGGGAAGACCCTAACAGAATATTTAAATACCAGGACAGTAAAGATGGCATCTCTGTAAGCAATGTTAGTTGGATGGTAAGATTTTCATACTGTTAATTCAGTTCATTGTAAGGAAAAAGGGGTTTGAGTTTCTGGGTCTCCTTTTTCTGGTGCCTTAGAAAAGTTTTGGGAAAACTTCAGTATTTACACTCTAGACTATTCTTCCTCTGAAGAGAAGAGCAAAACACTTAAAGAAGCCCTTAGAGAATTGTTGTGGAATATATAAACCAAGAAAGGGCAGAGTGCATGGCAGGCAGCAGCCATGATCAGAGGAGAAGCAGCTTTGTGGGTGACAAGCTGTCTAGGGGTCCCTGGTTCTTGTCCCTCCCTTTCCTCTTGAGGTTGTATTAGCCCAGACACCATAACAGTAAGCTCAGGCTGAGTGGTGTAAGCAGCAGACATTCATTTTCTCATACCCTGAAGGCTGGGAGGCTAAGGTCAAGGAGTCAGCCAGGCAGGTGTCTCCTGAGGCCCTCTCCTTGACTGTGGATGGCCATTTTCTGTGCACATGTCTCTAGAGTCTCTCTTCTCCTGTGGACACCAGTCCTATTGTTTTAGGGTCCATCCTGTTCATATGATTTAACCTTAATTTCTTTGAAGGCCCCATCTCCAAATACAATTGCAGTATGAGATAGGGCTTTAACATGAATTTGGAGGGGACGGAGTTCAGTCCTTAACAAGAATGAGGTGTCTTAGGTGAGGTCCTTTTGTTAAATTTACTGCCTCTCGTTCTCTCTCTTTAACTGGAAAAATGAATTTCATTATTCCTGATATACAAATTAAGACTCTTAAATTCCCAAAGACTTCAGTGCCCATTTTTGCTCCTGACACACAGAAGCGTTTTCTGTACCTGTTGGTCATTCCCCTGAGGTCTGTTCTGGTTCTGTGACCGCCAAAGCCATGCGCCGTGGGGCGCCTGCTGTGCCGGGAATCCTTGTGTGGTCTCCTCATCTTGTGTCTGTGTTGCAGTTGCTGGATTTTGTTTTTTTGTTTTGTTCTCATAAAATCCATTGTGTTTCTCTCCTTTTAAATGTGACCTTGCTTACCTATCACCATTCCGCACAGATGCCATTTATGAATAATGGAAATTGTCCCCTGTTTCAACAAGGTGATATGCAGTCTTGGCAAAGATGTCATTTCAGTGTTCTGAATTTACATGGTGTTTCAAAGCAGAATCATGATCCCATATGCACTTGTGCTGTTCAAAAATGAAATACAGCAGCAGCAAAATATCTTTTAGATTTCATGAACTTCATTTTGAGGACCATGCTGGTTAGGTATGTATCAAACACTACTGGTCTTTGGCATGAGGTTATATACAGCACAATGAGAAGGAAGTCCTTACTGCAGATTTAGCACCATTGCCACGTATTTTGTGTACCCTCGTGAGCATTTTTTAAAAATATTTTTGTGAGATCATAAGGAAGTATATAAAAGCCAATAAAATGCAAACCACACAGCATTCTTTGTTATTAGAAAATGAAGTGGCTTTGGAATATGCTGGTCCTAGTAATCATTTGATTTTACCATTGCTTTCCCTTCCTTATTTTCTAGGTACAGAGGTAAAACTTACAGGGCTGTGGTTAAGATCGTACGAACATCTGACCAAGTAGCAAATTTCTGCCGACGAGTTTGTGCCAAGCTAGAATGCTGTCCAAATCTGTTTAGTCCTGTGCTGATTTCTGGAAACTGCCCAGAGAACTGTTCCATTCATACCAAAACCAAATACAGTAAGTACAAATGATGATAAAACCTAACAACATTGGTCCATAAGCCGGAACTGCAGCATAATATAGTTGGTTTTTGTTTTATTTTTAGCCTTCTGAGTAGTGTTTCATAGGAGCTGCTCTGGAAAATTGTTTTAAGATTTGCTCTGGAAGATTCCTATGTGTTTTTAGCCTGGCATCGAGGGAGGGATGGGGTCAATTCAAAACAAGGTGGATTGTCATCTACAGGCTTTGGAAAAGGAGAAAGGAGAAGGTGCGTACTATCTTGGATTTTCCATGGATCACCTTCTCCACAGCTCTGTGGCTGGGAAGATAAACTGGTGATTTGTGATGCTCAGGAACCCAGATTCATCTCTTATCCTTATGCTGAGAAGCCGAAGAGGTCTTTTGATGCTTTTCTTGCGGATCCTTGTCCTGGCAGCTTCTCCCCTGGTTAGACACATGCTCAGCACTCTCTGAGGGCTACCATAACTAGAGGATTCTGGAGCAGCCGTCCCCCCCTTCTTTGTCCCCAGCCGCCTTTGCCTCTCCACTGTAATATAGGATTCAGCCTGGTGCCACTTTCCCAACTGGTAGCATGTGCCTCTGCCAATCCCATCTCATTCAGTGATCCTGCTGTGGGTTCACAGTCACTCTCCGCCCTGTGCTTCCTGTATCTTGGTGGCCTTCTCCATGTTGATAGCCACTCCAGACATCTCCGTCTCTGATATCTCAAACCCTGAAAACAGCTTCTGAGCTCCCCTCAGTTCTCTGTCATCCCAGGGGCAGTTGGCTCTGCCAGGCCACATTCCAGCCCCCTGCTGGAGAGGACAGGGACCCACATAGTGTGGCCAGTACTCTGTGAGCCACAGCCACCTGTGACTCGTCCAGTTGGGTGTGGGAACCAGGAATCTGGATGTATCTGAGGCACTGTTCAGGGTGTGATGTCCTTCTTTCTCTCTGTGCACGCACATGCATCTGCCTTCCACTCCTGTTTCTACAAAAGGTCAGCCACGCTCTGTCGCAATGATCCCCATTTCTATGTACCCACGTGGTCTTGGGTGAGAACCCAGGTGGGTTCATATCTTCTGCTTCCTAAAGAACTCATCTCCACAGCCTCTCTGTGGCAAGGATTCACTAGGTACAGCCACTCCCGAATGAGGAATGATGAGGGTGAAACTTGGCCTTGAATTTTAGCGTACAAATGAGCTTCCTCATAGGACCTAGGGAACAGGAGGGAAGGAGCAGCTATTACAACTCAATTAAATGCAGCTGAAATGAACTTGAAGATGATCCTGGATCTGGTTTTATAAAACTTCAAAGTCCTGAGATTCCTCACGTGGTCTTAGAGTGAACATTGCTACAGACGGAACCTGAGCTCCAGCCAGAGGAGTGCAGAACAGTATTTTGATGGAATCCAGAACAGCAGGAGTTGTTCAGTCTAATTCTAAGGCCCCCCAAAATGTACTGACCTCTGGTTACATTCAGTCAAACCAGTTCTGACCTCTGTACCTGCTTCTAAGAGGCTGCACCAGCCTTGCCATGCCTGCTTGGGATTTGGGAGGTGAGAATGGTTTCTCTTTCCTCTCTCTCCTCCTCCCCCATCTACCTCCTCTCCAGAGCAGTTGCCTCCCCTCCTCTTCTCTTCCTTTGTCCAGGTGTGTGTGTATGTGTGTGTGTGTGTGTGTGTGTGTGTGTCTGCAGCCTAAAATGTTTTAAATTTTCTTTCTTCCGTAGCCTATTATTATGGAAAGAGAAGGAAGATCATTAAGCCCCCAATTGGGGAAAGCAGCATTGAGAGTGGACACCCAAAACCAGCCCGAAGAAGGAAACGACGAAAATCCATTTTTGTGCAGAAGAAGCGGAGATCTTCGGCTGTGGACCTAACTGCGGGCTCTGGGGAGGTACCGTCTGCTTAACTAGAAGCACCTGCCAACATTGGGTTTTAAAGTATGGCCCTCCTTGGGGCAGAATAAGTACCCTCCTTCCTGTTTGGTGAACACAGCTTAGCTGCTTTGGCTAGGAAAGGGCCACTAAGCACTGACCTTGAGACTATGGGAGGAATGTCAGGCGTCCCTGGACAAACCTGGCATAGGTTTGCACGGGCTGTCCTGGGGAGGAAACTGTGCTGGGATCTGAGCCTGCACTGTGGCCTGTGGCGTAGGCCACCCTGCTGTGCTCAGCGAGTCCCATGCCACCCACCCCCACACTTAAAGCTTTCCTCTTATTCCCAGGAAAGTGAAGAGGAGGACGCAGACCAGCTGGATGAAGACACTGCAAGTGAGGAGACCGGCTCGGAGCTCCGAGACGACCAGACCGACACCTCGTCGGCCGAGGTCCCCTCGACGCGGCCACGGAGGGCGGTCACCCTGCGCAGTGGCCCAGAGCCTGCACGGCGGCCAGTGGAGAGGGCACGCAGGAGCCGCGTGGTGCAGGCCACCCCTGCAGAGGAGGAGGACAAGGGTCCTGTCGCCAAGACTGAGGGCCCTGAGGTGAGCCCCAGAGCCTGGAACACGAGTTCACAGGGGCGATTTGGGAGGATCACAAGTTCAAGGCTAGAGTGGGTAAGGTAGCGAGACCCTGTCTCAAAGAAGATTGGATCTGTGGCTCCATGGTAGAGCCCCTGGGTTCAATCTGCTGTTACCAACCAACCAAACAACAGGCGAAATAGCAGCAGCTGTTCTGGTGAAACTCCCAAGTTGGTGGGGTCAAAGGCTTTGATGTCACCTCAGCAGAGTGAGTCCTGAAGCAAGAGAAGGGAGCAAGGACTGGAGGAGCACCCTCATTTCTGAAAGGTTTTTACTCCACCAGGGCTTCTAGTCAGGAAGAGGGCAGGGTCTAGTGCTCCAGGTCCCTCTGAACACTGGGCGCCCCACATCTCATCTCCACATCTCCTGTTTCTAACTTGCTTTTTGCTTCCCACTGCCTGTTGAGGGGGTCACCTCTGTGGTGTCATAAAACGTGTATCAGGCAGATGGCAGCTGTTCAGGTGGTATGTGTCATTGGCCCCACCATCACAGACACCTTAAGGACAGCTGGCTTTCTTGTGCACTTTCTCTCTGTAGCTTATGATTATGAAAAGAGAAGGAAGATCAGTGAGTTCAGCACCCTAAACCAGCCAGGAGAAGGAAAGGAGCAGGGTCCCCTTAGCATCCTCGTATCTAAACAGAAATGCTTCGTCCATAAGCAGGCCCAAGATTTCCCGACCTGGGGCTTCAGGATGGGCCGTCAAGGCCTTTCTGTATCTAACCTCTGAAGGCACAGGGGTCATTGCAGGTGCAGGGGAAGTCACCACTGGGACACTTGTGAGGAAACTCCCCAGAGACAGTTTCTGGGCTTGTTCAGGTGCCCAGGAGAGACCCAGGGCGGTGATGACTCAGGTCCAGGACAGCGTTAGAAGGACCCAACCGGCCACACAGTGTGCAGTGACGGTCCCCGCCCTGCTTCCCCTGCAGGAAACCAAACAGGAGGAGGAGGGAAGGCTCGTCCTGGAGAGCAACCCGTTGGAGTGGACAGTCACCGACGTGGTGAGGTTCATTAAGCTGACCGACTGTGCTCCCTTGGCCAAGATCTTTCAGGAACAGGTATGGTGGCTGGCTGTGTAGTTATTGGTTCATGTGAGACTCCAGATCTTAAAGGAACACCCTGTCTTACCTGGCTTCTTCACGACTGCTAGGCGGGGACAGATGTTTCAGGTGCCCATTCAGCTGCAGTTGACCCCTGTGAGGGTGTTCTTTCGTGCTGACGGGCAGGTGTGGGAGACCTGACACCCCATGCCCCAGAGCCTGGTTCCTGCTCCTCACTGTCTCACTGACCCCATGGAGGTGAGACTCTTCTGATAGCACCCAACAGGGCAAGGGCGAGGGAAGTGCTATTAACTGACAGGTGAGTTGTGGCAGTCCAGGCCCCACCTTCATTCTACACTGACCCCACAATGGTGGACTTGCTTTTTATTGTCCAGCAGGGATAAACATCCAACTCCTGCTTGTCCTTCTCAAATGTCACCTTGCTGGGGTGTTGGGGGGCCTGGTTGCAGCCTGGATGGACTGGAAGTCAAGGCTGATTGCTGGGCCTTACCTGGTGGGGAGTGGGCTGGACCAGATTTCCCCGTAGCCTTTTCCTGCAGTAGAGCCATTAGTTCTACAAGTATTTTTTCAGTGCCTGTTGGCAAATCTGGGTTTCAAGCATCTTTGGCTCTCACAGAAGCAAATGATAACTACAAAAAAAAAAAAAAAAAAAAAAAAACAAAAACAAAAAAAAAAAAAAAAACAAGAAACTCAGCACTGTCATTAACTCAGGTCCCTGGGGTCATAGCCAGTCTTCCCTGTTCTTTCCAACATTCAGATTCCTTCTATTTGGTTTATAAATAATGGCCAGTGCTCTTAGTTCTGCTTGGCAAGAGAATAGGGAAATGTGTGTCTGCTGGAACTTTTCTGAGGGGAAGCCCTCTGTCCATTGTGTTCAGGTTAATTCTGTTTTCATCACTGTTTGCTTACTTTCTAGGTTTCTTTCATCACAAAACAGTTTAGAACCAATAGTATTATGATGGACAAATGTACAATCCATTGATGCAGTCTAGACCTGAAAGGAGTTTGTAATCTAACAAATGAATGGCTATAGTTAGCTAAAACAGCCAGACAGGTGACAGTGTGCCCTGACAAGAAAAGGGTTTTCATTTCCATTTTCCCTTAAGTTAATCTGAAAGCAAACTGCCAATCTGCACACAAGCCACCTTGCATCATTCTGCCTCTGGCCTTGTCTAAAAAGTTCAAGTGTAAGCCTGTGGCTCAATTGATTGAAATCCTTGCATTGTTCCATAGTGTAATCAATATCTGTCTTTTCAGAACTTGTGTTAAAAAAATACTGTTTTCCATATAATAAACTGAAGATATGTTCATCCAGTCTATTTTTAGATTTAACAAACCAACAGTCTAGAAAGAGGATTTTTCAAGCATTAAATCAGAAAAATAAATAAGGAAGGGTCTCTGGTTTCCCATGCACCCAGGGAGTTTCCCACTTTTTCTCCAAAATCAATGTTGTAATGAATTGTACAAAGCAAATTAATGCAGTTCCCATCTCCCTCAAGTAGGGTATTTCTTGACATTCAGACTTCTCCAGAATAGTCCTGGAGGTGGAGCAATCCATATGATCCACCCTGGAACCTTCTGCAGATTTGTGATAAATTCAGGCTGAAGGAATGAATGGGGCTGGTTCCCTCCTGGCCTGCTGACACTGAGAGTGGATAAACTGGGAGCGATTTTTTTTTTTTTTTTGACCTTAAGAACCCAGGATAATGGTCTTGTCCCTTATTAAAACACTCAAATAAAAAGAGAATTTCGTGTTGGAGTTTAGGTAATGGGTTTTTGTGATAAGCTTTGCCTTAGTCTTAAAATCAAAAATAAAGCAATTGGTGAAATTCATTGCCTAGTGCAACATTTTCCTGTCTGGCATTTATTTATTTATTTATATTAGGGAATATCTTATTGCATATGAAGCAGACTGAAAACCCCATTTGTTCACATAAGTTCCCTGTGTCTGGTTAATACCATTTAAATTGATGAAATCAGCAAAGTTCACAACTTTCACAGGATTCATGATGGCATTGCAAAAAAAAGGAAAGAAAAAAAAACATTGTGTTAAAATATGTGACAAATGCCAATTATACAGGTTTTAATATGCTAATGTGTATCTGTTGGCTCATTTATTTTTTCAACAATATTGACCACCTGTTATATGCTTCATGATGTCCTACAAGTGTTTATGGAATGTGGTCCATTCTATATTGGTATTAAGTTTTGTTTTTGTTTTTTCTTGATTTAGCTTCTAGTGCCCACATTTAACTAAGAAATATTTTTCAGTTGAGCCAGAACAAAGGACTGATTGTCTCACTTCTGGATTCCAAGTTTCCAGAGCTCAAGACCATTTGTACCAGGAGAGGTTAATAGGCTGGCTCATCCATACCTTGTATACATACATCCTAGTAAAGGAAAGTGAAGCAAAGCTGGTTAGAGAGAAAAGGCTAAGATGCCACTGGTATAAAGTCCTCTCTTCTTCTAATCCTAAGCCCAGTTTCAAATAGTATATCTCAGAACATTTCAAAGACATGGAACGTGACCGGCACATCCCTGCTTGTCGACTAAAGTAGTCGGCCCCCTCCCTCCAGCCACTCTTCTAGTGTCAGTGAAAAGCTTGGTCCTTCATTCAGACTCTCTTCCTCTTCTGAGAGAGAAAAATAGGTAGGCTTTAGTTGATAAGAGTCTTATTTCCACTTAATTTTACATTTTGCATTAGGCAGTTTCACCTGTTATAATAAAAAGCTGTTGCCCGCTGGGTTGTGTGAAGTGTGAGGGCACTTGAGTCCTTTTCTGTACCATCAGACCTTTAATTACTAATTTTTACTAATTTGTTCTATCATCTTTTAGCCCAGATGGCACAGCTCTGATGTGGTGATGCCTCTGGTGGGTCACTGCGGGCATTTATCTGAGCTCTGAGAGGAACTAGAAGGAGCCCGGAGGCTTGATAGGCCTGTGTGCAGAGATCACAGTCTGCAAATGCTGACGGCTGTGTGCATTCCCTCCCCTGGGTGCTGTCAGTTCACAGACTGTTATAATCTCCAGGAGCGTTTGCAAAAATTATAAACTCCCCATTAACAGCACACACGCCTTTTATTTCTGGAATGTTATGGCAACCTCTTAGAAAATCTATACTCTATAATTTTATGCTGCAAACATATACATTATGTAGTAAAAATCCACACATCTATAACTAAAAAAAAAACAACAAACCAACATAAAACTCTAAATAGTGTTTTGCCTATTCGTTCACCTTTTATGAGTTAGTCTGCTCACATACAATAAGCAGACTGACCAAATTAGCGATTTACTTTTAAAAAAATTTTTTTAAGATTGTTTATAAGTCTCCTTGTGATTGAGAGTGTTTCCTCCTCTTTTTACTTCTCTTGACCTGAGCACTTCCATTGAAGAACTGCCAAGCCCTAAATGAAGTGCTCTATCAAAATAAATGTAAATTTGCCACGTGCTAAGCATGGCTTTCGTGTTGTATAATTTATTATATTCTATGTCTTTAAAATTAGTAATCCAGTGTAACATAATGAGTGTTCTGCTAGCAATTCTGAATTCTATAGGAGTGTATTTGTAAGAATTAAGTCAAGTGTGAAGTCTGGGGTATTTGTGTAATCTTTGAGGAAAAAACAACTTCTTCCAAACCATCACAAAGGCTAGGTAAGAGGGAGTGTAGGGGGATCACTCCCTTGTTCCTTGATGGCTGGGGATGTCACACCTGTATTCTCTTCTGCCCAGTTTTGTTTCCATTCACCCATTTCCCTTCCTGCCCATTGTGAGGTGGACTAAATGAGTCACATATAGTCCGCAGCATGAGCAGGTCTGACACAGGTTAGGCATGTCTGTCAGCCATGATTCTGAGGTCCCTGAGGCCTTCCAGGGTCCTCTCCACAACCCCAGCAGGGACCACCTGACAGTCAGCCATTGAACCTGACTTCAAAGCTGGGGTTCTGGCTTAGCGGTAGAGCGCTCGCCTAGCACGTGCAAGGCCCTGAGTTCGATCCTCAGCTCCACATAAAAACAAATAAATAAAGGTATTGTGTTCATCTACAATTAAAAAATAGATATTTAAACAAACAAAAAACCTGGCTTCTTCCAGCAGGCAGTGTGGAACTCAGGAACATGAGCTTATTCTCGGTGGCATGGTCTTTTCAAAGTGGTAATACCCAGGAGTTCTATTTTGTGTCATTTAGTGAGGACAGAAAATGAGTTGAAAACCTAGCGGTGACAGCGGTTGGGCCCTTAGGTGGCTCAATTAGGGACAAGTTGCATTTTAACCACTTTCCCCCCGTTTATAATTGGTCCAGTTTTTAGTTAATTCTTCCCAGACGGAGCCAGGATGAAGGAACTCTGTAACAAACAAGGTGGTTTGGCCTTAGCCTCCCCCCAGATAGGAATCGCCTTCCTGAAGATAGGAATTCCATTCGGTTCTTGTTTTCTCCTCACTTCTTAGTACCACATGCACCAGGTTTTCCATGTGGTAAATTGGCTTCTTTGGGGGGCCAGGGGTGGGCCTGTACTCAAAGGCATGGCCTCCCTACACTTCTGTTTCAGCTTGAAGTTCACACCAGGGTGTGTGGCCTCTCCCTCACCCTCTTCCTGCAGCATCAGAGCAGAGACCTTTTGAAACCTACAGTGTGCCTCTCTGCTGCTAGTTGGGCAGGGGGAAGTCAGGCCCAAGGCACTCACATTGGCTTTCCTGCTTGGGGAAGTCTGAGGACAGGACAAGTGACCAGGTGGTCGGGTGGGGCAGGAGGGACATCTGGTTTGATAACGTCAGAGGATGCCATTTTGAGTCCCCAGACCTTTCAACACTCAAAAAGCATTTGTTGAGAAAATAAGTAAAGAGTAGCATCCTCTACTTGAATGTAGTATATATTTAATGTCAGTGACCTTCAGTGAAATTGTCTGTAGAGAAACAGTTACATGTTAGGGCTGATTTTCAGTTCTAATTGAATACATATGTCCAAGGAAGGCCATCGTGTCCAAGTGTGGCTGTTAAAGACTTCTGTTGAGAGTTTAACATCAGAGAACCACAATTCTAGTTCCAATGTTGTCTCTAACCAGCTGTATGATCTTGGCTAGATCAGCTAGCTTTTCTGGTGATTGATTTCCATCTTAAAAACAAACTTCTCTCTCCTTAGGCTAGTTGCAGTGTGAGTCTCTTTCCTGTTCTGTTGATTTCATTGAACATGATGGTGAAGCCACCTGCACCACTGTGGTGTAACATCAGCCCACTGCACACTTAAAAGTGTATTTCCATGAGACCCATGGTGCTTAGAAGACTTGGTGTCCCTGGGCTGAAGCCTGTCTGTCTACTTTGATTTAACTTATATAGGTTTGGCTCCAAACATATCCCTGGCCAGGAAGTACCCTTCCTAGCTTCATGACCTTGAGCTAAATACTGTTTCTTCCAGTTCAATACTTCTGACTCCTCCTTAGTATAGTCAGCCTTATCAGTAGCCTTTGAAAAGGAATTAAAACAGCATGTAAGAGCAGTACAAGCAAAGGAGAAGAAATTTAAATGTAGCCTAAAAAAGCATTGACATTTTATTAGTGTACCTTTCAGAATGTATTCCAGACTGATCTATTTATTTTGTGGTTTGATAAGGTCACGGGGCTCTTTGTTGAGACATGGCGCCTAGTACCATACCTCATAACTAGTGTTCATCTCTGATTTTAAAATACCAAATTGCTCTCATGTTGATACTTTTTTTAAGTTAATGTTTAATCTTTTTGCTGTTGTACTTATTAGGGAGTATTTTGGCTTTTGAATCTAATCAGATGATAAATTATTCTTGCTCTTACTGTTAGTCCTTTGAACCTGATTGGATGATAAATTATGCTTCCTCTTGACATCAGTCTTCTCGGGCTGCCATTTATACACACTTCAGTTTTTGCCTTAGATATTTTCAAGACAGTCAAATAAAACATTAGTTTAGGAAAACAACTCTGGTGTGAAATTCACCGATAGGTAATGTCTGAATCTCATGCTCATGTACTGTTAAATGACTGTTAAGTCCTTGTGGTTTATGGAAGCCCTGGGCATAAAACTTCTCCACGTGACAGAAATTCTGGTATGCTGAGCTCAGTTTACTTCCACTGATTTATATCAACACCTCAGGCCTGCAGTCTTTTTGAGATTACTTCCCTCCCCCAGAATTTGTAGATTCTCTTGGTTGATAGGCAGAGCAGATTGCAGTTAAGCACAATAATAAGCAAAGTTAATGCCAATCAAATGGCATCTACGTATCATAGGATGCAAGCTGGCTAAGAGACAGAGATGTTCCCCCCATAGAGGTCAGGGCTTTGGAGTGAGTCTCCATGCCCCTCTTCCTATAGCAAATTACATTTTAACGATGACTTCGTGAATGTCTTCATGGTACGGGACCCTGTGTGTAGATATAGGAGAGGTAAGTAAAATCGAATGAGCAAATGGTCCCTGTGTACAAGTAGCAGCTTACTCTGGACAGTTGCTTGTATGTAAATGTGAGTGCGTGCGCATCGATGAGGCAGTTATCTTCCTTTTACTTCCAGACGTAGGATTCCCTTGAGCATCTTTTGTAAGGTGGTGGTGAAGTCCTCCATTTTTTTCTTGTCTTGGAAGCCCCTTTTTCTCTATTTGTGAAATATAATTTATTATAGTGTTCGTGGTTGGCAGGGTTTTTTGTTTTTTTCCTGGAAGAATTTTGAAACATCATCTCTTTACCTCCTGATCTATAAGGTTTCTGCCTAGAAATCTGTTCTCTAGTGGGGGATTCCTTAAATGTAATAAAGGAATATACTTTCACTCTTTTTAGAATTCTGTCTTTGTTTGGATTTTTGGTGTCTTTTGAGCCTCCTGGATGAAAGCTTATATGTTTCCTAAGATTTGGGACATTTTTAGCTCATATTTCATTGAATAGACTATCTATATATTTTTCCTCTCTTCTCCTTCTAGAATACACATTATTTGAATATTTATTCATTTAATGATATCCATCAGTTTTAGAGGCTTTCCTTCTCCCTCCATCCTTCTCCCTCCCTCTCTCCCCCGCCACCCTTGTCTGTCAGTTATTTCAAAAGACAAATCTTCAAGTTCATAAGTCCTTTCTCTTCTACATGATCTAGTCTGTTGTTGGAGCTCTCAACAGTTTTGTTTTGTTTTAGGTAATGAGAATTGAATCCAAGGGTGCTTAACCACTGAGCCACATCCCCTGCCCTTTTTATTTTGTACTTTGAGACAGGGTCTCGCTAAGTTGCTGAGGGTGGCTTTGAACTTGCAATTCTCCTGCTTCAGCCTCTGGGATTACTGGCATGGGCCACTACGCCCAGCTCTCAATAGTATTTTTAATATAATTTACTGAGTTGTTCAGCTTGAAGACTTGTTTGACTTTTTTTCATGAACTGTATCCCTTTGTTGAGTTTCTCATTCATATTGTGAACTGTTATCCTAATTCATTGAATATGCTTGTCTGTTTGTGCTTGTATCTCATTGAGTTTCCTTCTAATTCTTTTTCAGGCATTTCATCACTTTCCTTTTCTCTGGTGTCTGTTGCTAGAGTTACTGTGCTCCTCTGGAAGCATTGGCTTTTTCATGCTTCCTGTGTCCCTATGGTGATATTTGTGCATCTGTAGATCCATTAACTCTACCAGCTTGGTGGCTTGACATTAAAAGACTTTCTCCAGGTATCAGATTGGCACACTTCATTGGCTTTGGTTCCAGTTGAGTACCATAGTGTCATCTCTGTATAGCTTCTTTGGCTATGTGATGGCTTTGGGTGTAGTGTGTATGGCTGTGGGGACATAGAGCCTGTCTGTTTCCATGGGCTCTGGTGGCTTGGGTGGGTGTGTCACACAGAGCAATGTGGGTGTGTTGTCCTCTGTGGAGGTCCATGCTGTGAGGTTGGCATATCTGTCTTTGACATCTTCTCAGCCATCCTGATGGTGAAATGTCAGAGCTTGGCAGGAAAGTTAGAGAGCTTTCATTTTTGATAGAGAGCCCTTTTCTAGTGTTCAAATTGGTAGAGGAAGGACCTGGCCTGCACAAGAGAGAGGTTGCTTGGGAAGCAGTGTCTGAAGCAGCCTACCCACTTGAGCTCTTTATAACCACCAGGGCGGGCATGTGAATTTCAGAGCAACGAAAATGTTCTTAGCAAAAAACAGTATTTTACTGACACAAAGGTTAAACGGTCATCTCTACAGAATTTGATGGAACAAGAGTAGCACCTTCCCATACTTGGCCCCAGGCAGAAGCCTGATGTGACCAGTGTGCCCCAGGTGCGGGATGCCACTTCTCTAACCTGGCTTTATTTTCTGGCAGGACATTGACGGCCAAGCACTCCTCCTGCTGACTCTCCCTACAGTGCAGGAGTGCATGGAGCTGAAGCTGGGACCCGCCATCAAATTATGCCATCAGATCGAGAGAGTGAAAGTGGCTTTCTACGCCCAGTATGCCAACTGACTCCACCTTTGGGGACCTGGTCTGTGATCTTTTGTGATGCTTTGTGAAGGTTTTCAGGACTGAGACTTTGATTTTTTTCCGAGGATGTATAAAGTGGTACACTCACTAAGTATTACCAAGAAGCCAGAGCCTGGCACCTCCCTCATCCACCAGCCTATTTGATGTTCCCGTGTTTTGAAAGCACACTGATGTCCCACAGGAGTAACTTCTACAGAGCATAATTATAGTTCTGCATCAGACCCTGCCAGGATATGGAAGAACTGCTCTGGATATCCACGTTTGGCCTTTCTCTCACCCCAAACCAGGCAGCTTCCTGGGATCCCATTTTCCTATCCCAAGTCCCATGTTCTTTGAAAGCTGGGCTGGGTGCATATGTGGTCAAGGAGGATTCCTAACACCTTGCCAGTAGTTTTTGCTGTACTTGTTCTCAGATGCTTCCTGTCGATACGTGTGGCCCTGGTTTAGTGTCATGTATGGCACTGTGGATTGATCTTGGTGATGACTCCCTTCTCCATCACAGCTGTGGACACAGATGTTTCAGGATATCGATCTAAAAAGACATGCTAAACCTCCACATCCAAATCTCTATCAGAGGTGCCTTTTAGAAAGTACAGGGGGTACAAAAGGAGGCTGGCATCTCATCAAAAGACATCCTTGAGTGATTGAAGCCTAGAACATCTGTGAAGGCAAGCAGAGCCACACTATCACCATCATCCTAATTTAATGTTAAACAGGTCTGTGAGTGACTGCTTTAGGGAAATGTGAAAATGTATATTGAAGGAAACACTTAATTTCAGAGAGCAAGAATGGGAAGAGGTCTGGAGGAAGCATTTGGTGAACTAGTTACCTCCACTTAGAAGGATCACTGCAGCAGGTCACTCAGAGCATTTCTTCTGCTCATTCCATGCTGACTTTTTCAGGCATGAGGAGGATGAAGTCCCTTGAGCAGTTTGGTTAAATCAGCTAAGTTGCTTGCAGATAAATTGATGGCTCTTAGAGCTGGCTGTCCTTTTATACCCAGCACCTCCGTGCGTTCTCATGGATGATTCAATATGTTCATGCAACCCAAAGGGACTACTGCTCTGATGTGGCTGCCTGCTGCCTTTTTAAACTTCTGCAAGGAAACCATATCTTCATGTTGTCCCGAAGTGAACAGAGGCTTTGTCCCTTTCTGGGTTTTTTGTGTTTTTTTGTTTTACTTTGTTGTTGTTTTGTTTTAAAATAACTGTGTTGATATTTTCCCTTTGACTGGCATCTCAACTGTTCCAGTAATATGGCACGGTGGGCTCATTAGCTACTCATGATTTCAGTGACATTTATAAGGTGTGATTATTGGTTGAACTTCAATTACTCCTGCTAACTTTTCTTAATATTCTGTAACAGTTACAGATGAAAATGGAAGACACATATTTTATGGCTGAGACTTTTTTAGTCTCCCCTGTAGCTGATTTCTACCCTCAAGTTTTAAACGTTTGGTGAATGGACCTGCCTGGGGACCTCTGGTGGAAGGAGTCCCACGTGGTGTTGGAGGATGGACATGGCCTTGGTGATTGATGGTCAGTTTGCAGTAGGATATCTGACTTTTAAAGTCTTGACCTCTCTTCAGTTTCCCACTCCTGCCTTCTCAGCCACCTTATTGTGGCCTTAAGAGCTCAGTCCTGTGGAGTCAAACTTGGTCCGGTGATGGGAAAGGGTGTCCATTTCAAGATCTGTGACATTTTCTCTGTGCTCACTCCTTTATGATCCTTAACGGGGGCCCTTTCAAGCTGAGTTGCTTCTATTGCATTTGAAATGGGGATGAAGACATGTGGCTACAGCATCATATTGTACTTTGAGAACAAAAGTCACCTTCTTGTGCCCTTTCCAGTAGTGACATGGAAGAAGAGGTGCTACATCAGAGTAAGGAGATCTTCTGGAGTCTCCTGAGCTCACCCAGAGAGCCAGAGGACCACCCATCAGGAAGCTCAGGGTGGAAGCAGCCACCATTGCTGGGGGAAACTTTTTGCTTCCCAGGAGCTCACCATCCAAGACTCTCCTTATCCTTTTGACCTGGAGATTAACTTCATTCTCTCTTTGTGGTACTTCAGTTTTGTGTCCACATGCTGAGGAGACGGCTGTGACCAAAGCAGAAGAAAGCCCAGTCACCCTGGAGCCATCATGGAGGTGTCTGTGTGCCATCTCCCAGCCCTCCAGGAGAGCTGGGAAACATTTGAGGACCAAGGAGGTGCTTTTCCTCTGAGAGTGACCAGTGTCCCTATGAATTTGGATTCTCTAGGGATTCCACCATGGTGGGTGCCGTGTTTCACATCAGCAGCAATTCTGTCACAGAATTGTAACGTGGTTTTCATTTCTGTCTGGATTCACCTCTCACCAGCTTCTTTCTTAAAGATAGGACCAATTTCCAAGGAGTTTTTTGCTGTGTTGTGTCCTTGTTTCTTATTGCAGAAAAAAACCCCAAAACAAACAAAAATGGATTTTACTCATATACCCCAATGCCACCACTGCCCAGAAGCCAAAAATGTCTTGGTCTAAACAACAGTAGACGATGAACCCTGCTTCTTCCCTGGATGGCACTATTTCTTTATCTCTCTTTGATCATCCTTTGGGACCAAATCCTTTCCTGTATGCACCTGGGCTGTGTGTACATCACGCCACTCATTACCTCCTAGGCTGGCCGAGCAGACCCCTCGCAGGCTGTACCATGTAAGCAACCCAAGAAACAAACACCACCTCAGCTGTAGTGATGAGAGTCCATCGCTCAATCCCACCCTGAAGCTAAGGGCACTTGTTTCAGCCCCTGACTTCTTGACTCATTTGTACGATGTTGTAAAAAGAGAATAAAACCTACCAACCTGAAAAGAGCAGGGTACCACCGGCATGATGGAGCTGCTTTGGTTCTCTGCAGCAGTTTTCTTCACCACGGAGCTCCTGGGCTCGGAGAACTCATCTGTCCTTTGATCCAAGTTTGAGTCAACAGAGTATTTGAGCTGTACAGCAATTTAGATTCTTCTACCTTCTTTGATCATATTTGAAAGATCATTTCCTGTGTTCACTTTGATTTGTTGCTCCATAAATTAAAAATGATTCACACCCCAACACTGCCACCTCTGACCTTTAGTACAATCTCTAGGTTGATTTTGATCAGCCTTTTGAAGATTGGTCTATTTGCTAATTTATCTCATAGAATTTTGAGTGTTGTATAAGGCAAGTGCTGGATTTGCCTTCTTATACAAAACACCCCTTTCTAAGTTTTGGAAGCACTAGGGGTTTTCATACTTATTTTCTAGAACACCCATTTATATTTATTTCTGTATATAGAACTAAAGCAAAGCACAGTAGGGTTAAGGTCCTCATTGTGGGTTGAACATTATGGCTGCTTTCGGGTTAGGATGGTTACTGCTAGGCTCCAGTTACTCTGTATTCTGTCCTTGAAAGCTGTGATTGGGTGTGCAGTTATTTGGAAGGAAAAATAGTAAATTCAGATGTCTGTAGTGTGTAAGGAACAAGTCTGTAGAGAGGTCCATCCTGCCCGTGTCTCTGCGATATAACAACAGCAAGGGAAAGCTGTGTTGGCACCTATTACATACAGTTCAGTGGTTGTCTTTTTTAATTCACTGTTCATCTCTGTTTCAGCGTTTTCTGAAAATTATTCCCTTTAATTTGGTGAAAATTCCAAGTTTGATTAATTCTTGTAGCTTTCATCACTAGAGTGATTTCCAATTATCCAAACTATGGGATGATAAAATCAAATTGTACTGTTTTTGAACTGTTTTTAACAACAACAACAACAACAAAATTATCTAAAAATGATAATTGCTAATGCTTGGTTGCCATTTTGGGTGTTGGCTCTAGTTTAAATGACAGACTATAACTCAAGCAGTTCCGGAGCTGTAGTCTTCTGGGTTTTGTTTTGTTTTTGTGTGTTTTTTTGTGTTTTGGTGGCGAGGGATCAGCACCAGTGAGCATGCAGATCGCTTCCTGTCACCAAGGCAGGTGAGCGCTTCGCGGGGGCTGGAGAGACTCACTGAAGAATAAGGAACATTCCAGGACAAATTCCCTTTGGATGGAGAGTGTGAGGCAAATGTTTTAAATAATAGCAAGGATAGTCATCCCATGTGTTGTTCACAGTGGAAGCTAGCATGATATATCTAGAAGCATAAACTCCCTCGTCGTGAATGTCGTCGAAAGCCCTGTTAACTTTTCTGCATTCCAGTTTGAATAGTTTGTATTGGGGTTTGATTTCTATCTTGTGTATGTTTTGGTGCATAAAAGGGAAGAATCGGTGTCTTTACTTTTGAAATTTGCAGGACGAAGGGCATGCTGTTAGTTTGCTGTAAGATTGTATTCTGTATATATGTTTTCATGTAAATAAATGAAAATCTATATCAGAGTTATATTTTAATTTTTATTCTAAATGAAAAATAAACCCTTTTTACTTGAAAAAAATTGTAAGCCACATTGTTAATAAAGTAAAAATAAATTCTGTGATTGTGTTTGTGTCTTCATGTTGAAGGTTATTGAATATTATGTTCAGAGTCTGTGTCACAGTTGTTTTGTTCTGAAGTTTTGTTTTTGCCATGAAATAAACATCTGTCTTTAGGCTGTCAGCAACCGTGGCTCTCAGAGTCCTGTGTGACCTTGCAAAGACACTTCTTAGCAACTGGTATTTATTCTTTTTTGTTGTTCAGACATTACTGTATATCCTCACATGACAACCCCTGGCCATCCGGATTTCAGTGATATGGTTTTCCCTATAATTGTCTGGTGCTTTAGTAGAAGTATTGATTTATTTTTTACAAAAGCCATAATTAAATAGTTGTGTTTACCTTTATCTTTTCTTCTTCCTGTCAAATTAGGTCTTGGCATCCAAGTTGGAAAGGAAAGAGATCCCTTTGCCCCTGAGCCCCATTGCGGGGGTTCTGTTGTGGTGGAGTACACTCCTTCCTCTCACCACTAGGGGGACACCACCCAGGGACAGAAGGAAGGAGGGAGGGAGTTGA